ACTCTGCCCAGCCCTTCGCTGGCCATTTCAGCGGGATGGCACTTTGGTTTATGGGCCCTGAACACAGACAGATGGGGAAGCTGGGATATGCAGGGACAGGCAGCGGGGTGTGTGCGGGGATGGCCGCAAGCAGGCAGGAGGGGCCGGGGGGAAGACATGAGAGGGCACACACTATTCTTGCAGAACCGGACAGGGGCTCTTAAAGTCAGCATGGCCGTAGCGTCCTTTTCCGTAGTAGCGGCTCCGCCAGCGGCTGGGAGGGCCGAAGCGTTTCCGCCAGGTGAGGGAGGAAGGCAGTCCAGGCAGGGAGCACCCCACAAGTGATGGCGCCGGGTGCAGACAGGTGTGGGGGGTGGTCATGATGGAGGTGGGAGAGATGACAGCCCAGACCAGTGCACCCACCACCCACCGAGGGGGCGGGGTGGTGGGAAGCAACAAGACAATGGGAGAGAAGAGAGGAAATGAGAATTAGAGGTTGAGTGTGCAAAACGGAAGCAATCACGAACAGGTTTCCTCACGGACTCCGTCAGGGAGCCCGGCACGTTCTCCTTGAAGGGGCTTAAACCTGTCACGTTGGGCAGACTGCAGCAGCCCTGGTGTGTGACTCGGTTCCCCATCTGCGGAGCGAGAAGATGGGGCTAACCGGTCCTCGGGGTATCCAGAAAGGTGTCCTAAAGCGAGGCCCCACGGGGTACCACCTCCCTTTCCATGGAGGAGGACACCGGGCCATGGGCTGCAGACCGAGCTTCCCTGGGTCCAGCAGAACCAGCTTGGCCCTGCTGCCTCCCACCAGCACCCCTGACTGCGGAAACCCCTGCTCCTGCCCGTGTCTGGAGCGTGCGACTCAAGATGCGGCTTCAAGGACCCCCCACCGTCCCCCCACCCCACCCCGGGGCAAGTGAGAGACACCAGCTGCAGTCCTGTGCTTTTCCATGGCACCGGGCACGGCAATCATGCCCTCAGCCAGCCCGAGAGGCACCCCTCCCCCCTCTGCTGTGCATCGGGCCACCGCTCTGCTCCTGGGGCTGGGCTAGAAGCAGGGGCAGGAGGAGGACAGGCCGAGTCTGTGCCCCGGGAGGGGCGGTACCCTGTTCTGCTCCTCCTGGTCTTCATTCGGCTGACTGCAGCTCCCTGCCGACAGAGGCCGAGCCTCCACAGGTGTCGCGGCCACCTGACCATGAGGGCCTCCCTCACATTCCTCCCACAGCAATGCTCTATTCCACCCCACCCCCAACTTGTGCGTGGTACGTGGACCCGCCATAAGAGCCAAACGCTATATACGATGTTGGTGCTGTAAGGTGCGGTATCCCCGAGCCCCACGATGGCACGTACCCCCTTCGACAGGCCCTGTCACCAGTTTACTCTACAAGGGAGGGCCGGGCCCAGGGGCAGGGCCGGGCCTAGAGCCGATGTCACTTCACAGAGCCGCTGGGCCCACCCTAAGGCACAGGGCACTGTAAGCACCCACGTGCTTCTGGGCCTATAGAGCCTAAACCATCTCCCACGGGGACCTTCGCCCACCCCTGCCCTGACTCCCACTGCTTAAAGCTGAGGCACGGAGGCCCAGGAAACCAGACTTCCCCAGATGCTCACAGCTGGTTTGAGGCAGGCTGGGGTCTCTGCTTGAGCGTTCTGGCCGAGCCCGAAAGACGGAGGGACAGAGAAATAAGGGCGTGAGACACACAGAGAAGAGATGGCGATGGCCTCCGCTGTCTCACGGAGACAGTCCCCGGCCTGAGAGGGCAGAGGCGGGTGTGATGAGGCAGGATGGACGGGGCTTCAAGCATCAAAGGGCCGCATAAACCAACAACGTGGTTCCCACGGGGGCAGCTCCATTTCCCGGAGTGCTGTGTCTGCACCTGCGCCCCTGGCCCTGCTAATCTGGGGGACACTCAAGACCCACGGCTGTCTCGAGCTAGCTGGACTCAGGCTGTCCCCTCCTGGGCAGGATGTGCTGGTCTGCCAAGGACTGCCACGTTGTCCTCTCTCGCTGACGGGAACCACGGGCACTCCCCAGCCCACGGACCCTTCCTTCTCACTAACTGTGGCAATCCAATCCTAGTCCATCTTTGTCAGGTCTGTCTGTGAATTTCCCAGGTCACAGAGGGTGCTAAGAACCGGGGGCGGGCAGGGGTGGGGGTGCTGGCCTGCCAGGTCCAGGCTGCACGGCACTTACTCGGCTGACTTCCAGAAGTGCCCGGGGTGGGAGAGGCGCCGGTTCAGCTTGGGCAGTTTCTCCAGCATGTCCATCAGCAGGGGGAAGCTGGGCCGCTCCTGCAGGTCCAGCGCCCAGCAGGCAGACAGGATCTCCTGCAGATGGAGCTGGCATGAGAGGAGGCCCAGCCCAGCGAGACCCCAGGCACTGTTCCTGGGGGCCCTTCGATGTATTTCAACCATGGCCTGGGCCAGAGGACCCCGAACACGCTGCCGACATGAAGGGCCGGAAAACAGCGCCATTTCTAGAGCACTCCGAACCTCCCATTCACAATGAGGCTCCGGAGTGAGCTTCCCACCGCCGCTATTCTTCAACCCCATGGGGGGGGGGGGGCGAAGAGGACAGCACTGCCGAGTCTAGAGCCGAATGGACTTGGTAAAGGGGAAGACCAGACTGTGGAGACCAGTGGCTTTCCACAAGATGGAAAGCAGAGGAAGTGTGCAGACAGGTGGATGCAAGATGCTCGGGATGCGTGTGGCTGGGGGGACGGTGGACGTGGGAGCTTTGGCGTTAGCAGGAGTGGAGGCTGGGAGTGGCACGCAGAGCTAGCAGAGGGGCATCGGGGGAGAGTCAGTGGGGCAGCAGTCCTGCTCCACCCCTGGCCGCCCACCCAGGTACAGTGGCTCCAGAGGAAAACCCTCTGACTTGGATATTGGGGGCTGCCTACTCTCAGGCTTCCAGGCCCAGGGACCTCCTGCGTAGCCAACACCTGTCAGTGGCGCCCTGCATGCCGCTATGAAGCCGGGCAGATTTGAGCGGAGCTTCCAGACTGCTTAGGAAGAGAAGTCTGGTCATCTGTCCAGTCACAGCTCACAAAGCCCGATGAGTCACCATGGTTCCATCTACTACGGATCAGGGAGGTGGCAAGGGACAAGGCAGCGTGGCATTCCTTGGTGCATGGGGTCAGGAGCTGCTAACAACTTTCTCAGGGTCCCACTCAGGTGCACGGCTGAGCCTCCAGCCCTCCCACTCAAAAGTGCCCGTGAGAAGGCAGGAGACGCTCAGAGGGCGGGGCAGAGTATGCCTGCGGAGCGGAGGAGAGTACCCATCGGCTCAGGGTCAGCACGCAGGCTTTCCTTATGCCCGGAGCCCACAGAGCCTCCTGCTGTGGGTGGGGAGCCAGAGAGAGAGACCAAAGATGCGGGCAGGGGGGGGAGTGGTGGTTCTAGAAGCTACTCTATTCATAAAACAAGACCAGGGTGCAAAAAAAGTAAATAAAATAAGGAAGTGGGTTTTTTAAAAGCCTGTTTCTAAAACGAAACATTATTTAGAAATACTAGAAGACAGAGGCAGCATCACCCTCCCCGGCTATACCCCCATTGCAGACCTGGTCTGGGATAAAATCAAACCCGCTTGCCGTGGAGCTGGATTCCAACTCAGAGCAACCCTGCGGGGTAGACTAGAACGGCCCTGGGCTCCCAGCTGGGCATCTGCACACGAGCAGACTGCCCACCTCTCCGCTACGGAGGGCAGCGGGCAGGTTGGAACCCCTGTCCTTGTTCTTACCCACTGTGCCACCAGGGCTCCTCGTTTGAGAGAGGGAGGGGAAACATGAAGAGGGCTTTCAAACGTCCATGGGAAAATGCCCTTCCCTTCTAATTCCATTTCCCCATCATCTCTTTTGAAGCGCGCCCCCTTTCTTTTTAACATCAACAGTTTGATGGCAAAGATCATATACTTCACATTGTATCTCCATTCTATTTCTTTTTTTGTAAATCATTTAATTGGGGGCTCGTACAACTCTTATCACATCCCTTGTACATTTGTTGCCATCATCGTTCTCAAAACCTTTGCTTGCTACGTGAGCCCTTGGTATCAGCTACTCACTTTTCCCCTCCCTCCCTCCCTCAAGAACCCTTGATAATTTATAAACTATTATTTTTTCGTGTCTTATACTGACCGATGTCTCCCCTTCACCCACTTTTCTGCTGTCCATCCCCCTGAGATGGGGGTATATGTAGATCCCTGTGACCTTCCCCTTGACCTCCTGGTATCTCTATTCTCATTATTGATACTGAGGGGTTATCTGTCCTGGATTCCCAGCTCTGATCTGTACCCGTGTACATCCTCTGGTCTAGCCGGATTTGTAAGGTAGAATTGGGATCATGATAGGGGTGGGGGTGGGGGTGGGGTGGGGGGAAGCATTAGAGAACTAGAGGAAAGTTGTATGTTTCATCGTTGTTACACTGCACCCTGACTGACTCGTCACCTCCCCGCAACCCTTCTCTAAGGAGATGTCCAGTTGCCTACAGAGGGGAGAGAAGGTAAGAGACATGAAGCTTCTGTTTGGGCCAGGTTGGGACCACGCAGCCCCTTCCCCCAGCCTCTCAGAAAGACGGATGATCTGCTGGACTGTGCAGTCCCTGCCTCCAGCATTCCAAGGAGCTCGCTCTCTGGGCAGGGTCCACACAGCCCCTCCTCCAGCCTCAAGGCCTTGCAGCTGCAACACTAAAAGCCTCCTTCCCATTATCAGTACATACATGCTTGGCTCAGGCCCTATATAAGTCCCACCGCCTCACTGCCAGATGCGATTTCCCTGACCTGACTCGTTGGGTCTAGGAACCCGCTGGGGAGCTCAAGATGCTCCTGTCCCTTTCTCTGCTCTCCCTCCCCTCCTGGGAGCTCTTTCCCTCAATAAAATCCTTCTCAACTGCACGTTCCTTGTCAAATTCTATCTCCGTTCTGCACCTCCGTTTTTCACCGCTCATCCTCAACCCAGAAGGGCCACACTCTAGCAGGCAGCATCCCCACAAGAGAAGGCAGAGAGCAGGAAATTAGATAAGGAATAAGATGCTTTCCTTGAAGGCATCTTCAAGTGCAGAGGCCTGACTGGGGAGACAACATAAAATCTACATTAGCCCTAGCCTTGGGAAATGCCATCCCCCCAAGAATAAAAGGAAGATCCTAAATGCCTCCAGTAAGAATCAGGACTTCTCAGCAGGACACCCGGCCCTTAGTGGACAGTGGAGGTAAGCTGCAAATATCTGAGGGAAAACGGTTTTTGAACCTGAAATTCCATGCCACCTGGTGTATGGGCAAAATGAGAGTACCTTTTGGTTACGTCAGGTTTCCAAGATCACCTCCCCTGCAGCCACTGGGAGGCAGCTTCCTGAAGTTTCCCACTCATTTTGCTGGGCTGCAATTGGGGGTGGGGGTGGGGACAGGAGACACAGGAAATAGTGCAATGGGCCCAGGTATGGTGGGAAAGAAACAGAAGACGACAGTTACCCTGCAGGCTTAGGAGGCCATGACTCCAATGTAAGAGATTGGTAGATCGGAGGAGGAGGAGGAGACAGGCCGATGAAGGAAGGAGCTGCCACAAGAGCCCAATGAGGGTGCTCATCTCTAATCTCATCAAGGAGAAAGGCAAGTGGAAACCCCAGGGAAAACTGCAATGACGCGGGAATAGACCAGGCCCCAATGAGAAGTCAGTACAACGACAGCACAAAGCTAACGCCACGCTAGCAAATGACCTCATCGACAGCTAACCGCCTTTACGGCCTATCGTGGTGAACGCACATTCACTGCGTACACCCTCTAGCTGGGAGCCAGCGTCTGGGAGACTTACTCAGAAGATCTGGAAACCAGCCCAGTGCTGTACAAGTGCAGGGGGTGCTGATGTGCAGGGGTAGGGGTAGGGGTAGACCGATGGGGAGGGGAGAGCGGACGGAACAAAAAAAAACTAGTGCCTTTGGTGAGGAACGGGGTCAGGAAGCTGGTTTTCCTTGAGAACCTGCCCTAGTTGGTGCCTGTCGTCTTAGAGAAAGTGATTCAAATCACAGTGGAGGCTTTGTCACATACAACAGTGGCAGGTTGAAAGACAGAAACCAAGCGCACACGTCGTCTTTGTATAAACCAGAACATGCGGTAGGTTTGTTGTATCTGAATTAAAAAAAAAAATCTTAGTAAGTTGCCCTCCTGGCAACAGTCTCAGACACCTTTCTGCTGTCTTTGGTCGGTGCTGTGAAGTCAGTTCTTACCCACAGGGGCTCTCTCGCTACAAGAGAGTGAAGCACTGCCCTGTCCTGCGACAGCCTCGCAATCCCTGGGAGGTTTGCGGCCACTGTTGCAGCCACCGTGTTACTCCAGCTCCTCACGGGGGTCTTCTCTTTTGCTGACCCTCTTAACGTCACCCAGCAAGGTGTCTATTTCCAGGGACGGGTACCGCCTGAGAACATGTCCCAAACACAGGAAACCCAAGTCTCACCATCCTTGTTCCTAAGGAGCGTCCCGGTTGTACGTCGTCCACGACGGCTGTGTGTGTGCTCGGCGTCTGGCCGTCCACGGGACATTCCATATTCGCGACACCACGGACTCAGTTCAGATGTATCGACGCTCCTTTGGTCCCTCTTCACGGTCCCGCTCTTGACATGCCTACGGGGTGACGGCACCTCCCAGGCTCGGGTCAGGCACACTGTAGTCCTCAAGGTCACCTCTCTGCTCAATGCGACACACCACGCGCTGGTTTCTGGAATGCGGTGTCCACGGGTGGTCCTCATGCCAAGCTGACTCTCCTGTGAGAAGACAGCGCTTCCCCCGTCATATTTCAGCACCTTTTCACCTGAGTGGGGCATCTCCTGGCGCCATGTCACGCGGTATTCCGTGACGAGTCATAAGGTTCGCGGTGGCTAATTTTTCAAAAGTGGACTGTCTCTTCCTAGCCGCTTGTTAGTCTGGAAGCACCGCTGAAGCCTGTTCGCCACGGGTGACCCTGCTGGCATCCGAAGTGCTGGTGGCATAACGTCCAGCGTCACAGCAACACTCAGGCTAGCACAGCATGCCAAACGGACAGCACGCAGAGCCAGACCATCTACTCTGCCACGGCCGACGTCCACTCTCCCGTTCCTTCCAGCCAGGCTCCCCTCCAAGGGAGCGTTTCACCAGCCTTTTTTTTTTTTTGGGGGGGGGGTTTGATCCTGAGGTCTTCCTTCCCAGTCTGTCTTCATTTGGAAGCTCTGCTGAAAGCTACCCACCA